CCCCAAAACCCCAAAACCCCAAAACCCCAAAACCCCAAAACCCCACAAAGAGCTCAGGTTATTGAAAATCTAGCTAAATTTAATCCGCTTTAAATGTTTAGAGTAACATGTATAACATATTGAATAAACTTTAGAGTATTTTCAAAAGGTATTTTAGGTGTGTGCTAGCCAAAATCTTCAAATTTGTCATGAGAACTATGTCCTGACTAATATAAACATTCCTCTATAAACAAATTGGAATTTTATTTCTAACTAACAAAATTGTGACAGAAGCTTCAGTTGACAACACAGGAGATATTAAAACTAATTAAGGTCTCATTTCTTTCCAAAAACTAGCTAAAGGTGTTCTGCTAACCTCTCAGACAATATGAATGTAATAAAAACTGCGCCACCTCTAGGCTAAAATTGAAGTGGAATATCTTGCAAAAGGAAAAATCTTCTGGCAAATTTTGTTTGGAGGGCCACTAATAACTCTCAATACTAAACAATTTTCTTATGATGATAGACTAGAGAGCGTTCAGAGTTATTTTTACTTGGCTTGTAAAGGTTTTTTTAATTTGTTTACTTTAACAGATATTCAAATTTTTAAAGTACATTGCTCCTTTCTTAAGATCCCGCCTCTCTAAGCAAAATATGACATATAATGGGCAAAATGTATGTTTGCTAAAGATTTCAAACTTTGAGCATGGGTTTATAGCTCTCTATCCTTTTGCTAAATTGTTTACAGTCATGGAAAAATCATGACAGTGGAAAAGATGCAGAAATTAAGCAATTTAGAGTGGTTTAGGGTAAACTTTCTTATTCAACCTTTATTCTTCTCTGATATCGTAGAGAGCAAAGGGATACTCCCAATAGAACTGAGATTCACTTCTTTTGCCTCTATTAGGGCTTGAAGTAGTGGATTGATCAAGACTAGAGACATTCAAATCATCGTAATCGAATGAGGTTCTGTAGCACGAATCCTCTGAACGATAAATGAACGTCCCTTCACTCTGCTCCACTTCTTCTGGGGTCATGGTTTTAGCACTAAAAATTTCAATAGTTGGGCAAAAATATTTTCCTTCTTCAATTTTTAGTCTCTTGCCTCCAATAAACTTAAATGGAGTGCAATCTTTGGAAATATTTGCATTCAAAGACTTCACTGCCTTTAATGATTCTCTTAAGAAGTCACTAATGATTTCAATAATCTTATCAAAATCTTTCTCTAGAGTAGGCAAATGGAAAGCTAGTGTTTCGAACACCTTTTTGGGCATCTTCATAGCCCTACAGGTCTCTGCAACCAGGCTTAGGTTCACAATGTTCCTGATGACTGGGTTCTTCTGGAGGATTCCAAGGAAGAACTTCGGATGATGCTGGTGCTTGTCCACCTTGGGTAAGCAGGACAGGATCGATTCTTTCAGATCCTTGTTGAACAGAGCCATGAAGTTATTGATCTAGAAGTTATTCTTTGAAATGTATACGATAGTTTTAGGTGATTTTTCAGGCTTCTTGTTCGGCAAAGAATTGTTTACAAGGAACCTTAAAGAGGGATACATCGAGTTATAGTCAAGTAACTTTAGATCCTCTGGGATCAGAAGTATTGGACTTCTTGTGCTTTCTTCTGTTACTCTATTTAATATTAGCAAAAATTTACAAGTTAAGAGCAAATAAAATTTCAAAAAGAGGCTTTAACTTAAACGCAACACTACTTGGATATTTTGACCAAGATGTAGAATTAGTTAAAAGACATAAAAGGGATATGGGGATAGGAAAGAGATGGCAAATAGAAAAAAGTTGACTAGTTTTGAATTATTTAGAGGCAAAGTAATATTTTGTTTGTGAATTATGAGATTTTAGGATATATAAACAAGATTTTCCACTTTAAAGTTTTAAATGGAAAAATTGCATTCTTCGAAAAGATGTCAAGTTCAGATAATCAGATTTTTTTTAAAGGAAAAGCATTTTTAAGTCATTTAGTATTGATGGAAAGATTAATTTCAAGAAAATGTGATGTCACATAAATTTTAAAATCCTTTTTTGTTCCATTAATTGTCTATTATCTTTGAAAAATCATTTTTACCTGGACTAAATTGCTTACCTTGTAGATTCTTCGACACTAACGTTGCTGACGAGGTAGTCGATCTCTGATTTAAAATCTTGAGCTAGCTTCTTACAGCTATCATCAATAAAGTTTTGTTTATATGGCAAATCCGTTGGAACTAACTTTCTTATAGTTGAAGTCCTCACAAGGCCTTTTAATGGGTGAACATCACCTTTCTCCTCTTCAATTATAACAGAATTTGACTTTCCTCCATACGTATCTGTAGAATGAGACTGGTCAGCAGGTTCAAAAATAACCTTCGAAGGGCTTTCAAAGTCCTCAGGTCTTTGGACTATTTCACTTTCAATATAGTCGTTTTTCGAGTCTAAATAAGCATTAAACAAAAAGGTAAACTTTTGTTTAAAGTTCATCTAAAATATCAACTAAATCTATCCTTCGTTTTGGAATAATGGTGAAGAACGTACCAAAATAAGGAACCTTGTCTGAAAAGTCTGTGAGACCCTTTGCATTGGTGCTGAAGTATACATTGTCGTCATAGTCTTCAATCTTTGGCAACTTCTTAACGGTTGAGAGGAGCTCCTCAAGTCTTGCTTGATAGTCTATTTAAGCATTAATACTGGAGATTTAGTATTCTTTAATATTTGTATTCTTTGAGAATTAACCTTTTGGTTTTGGGGTGTTAAAGAAGGTATGAGACTTAAAGATAGCTCGGCCTTTAGATTGAGCATCTAATTTTATTGTTGCGCTTGGTGGGAGGTTCATGAAATGCTAAGATCATGAGAAAATTATGAATAAATCAAGATTTTTGGCAAACAACAATGCTCCATTAGTAGGAAAAAGTTTTAGTGTAAAAAGCTACAAAAACTATAGGGAAATTTTGTCTTGATGGGTAAAATGGAGTATAAACATTAAGTATTTAGAGGAAAACAGAAAGTAAGAATCAAATTACCATTACTGCCTGATATATCAGGATAATTCTCTCTGTAATGATTGGAATTGGCATTTAAGATTTCCAAAATCTCGAGCAAAATGTCCTGATATTTCCTTTTCCTTTTATTGTTCTTACATGCAAGTGATGACCTTAACTTATTTTTACAATGTCTTATAACCCTGTGCTGCAAAGTGAACACTTTCTCATTGTATAGAGAAACTTTGATGATTTTGGAACCTTCCATAGATTTAAGAGTCGAGATAAGCTGTTTAATTTCTCCTTGGAATTCCTTATTGTATCAAGTTTGGCAGAACTTGCCAAGAACTTGATCACCTCCATTTGGATTCTTAATTATACAGTACATCAGCTCAATATCGTGCTTTTTCTTACGACATCCGAAAGGGGAGGATAGTTGGCCATCTTCACTCTTTTGAAGATTGTAGATTCAGCATTCTCCTGATCTGTATAACATTGACGAGTAAAATTGATTCAGAAGTTGGAAAATAGACATTTGTACACATAAATCTGGAGTTCTTCCTCATACACTTGAGCAAACTGATCATAACTTTGCTGTATTATAGGTTATACCAAGGATTTACCCATGCATCATAATACATGAGTTTTTCTTTCAAATAGTTTATAGATTTAAATTTTGGTTTTAGAGCTTTAAATCTGATTTTCTCAAGCTTTAATTTACTATTTTAATACAAATATATAGTTTTCAGAGAGAATAATCAGTAGTGTTCTATTTTTATAAAATCCTAACATAATGCTTCCTTATTATGATCATAGAAGCTGCTTTATCCTTACCAGTATTGTCATTGTTGTTTAAATCCATTTTTAGAAATAATTTATTATGCTCCAATAGTATCAGCTTTTATGGGGTTTTGGGGTTTTGGGGTTTTGGGGTTTTGGGG